TGTCAGTCTGGGTTTCCTCAGAAGACTCTGAGTCTAGCACTCCAGGATCAGTTGTTTATCTGGGAGATGATTTTGGGCGACACCAGTACGGGTGTGGGGAAGCAAGATGGGAACAGGTCCCTAGAAACAGCAGAGACAGGGTCTGGATGCATGAGCTTTATTGGGGTAGAGAGGGCTCAGGGGTGAAAGAGGCCAGAGAGGAGGGGAGGAGGTGCGCAAGGATCTGCCCGTAAGGCCAGTTGAGCCTTGGCCTCATCCATGAACAGAGAGGGGTTTGGAGCAGAAATGGCTCTGCAGAGTGTAGCTGTTGAGGCAAGGGAGCAGCCCCCTCTCATGCCTCATGTACCAGCAGATGAACCATGTGTGTGGGTGGTGTGGCCCGGGTTAGGGGCTTCTGTTAGCAGAGGGTAATTCTCCAGGTTAGGGGAAAAGGTGAGCTGTTAGCAGCCTACATTGAGGTGGTCGGCAAGAACCCAGGAAACGGGGTCTGGGCAGGCTGCCCACAGCACTTAGGAAGAAAGCAGTATGGGATGTGATAATCAGCAACTAATTGATGCACAACCCTGCTGGGGGCCTCTGAGAGGAAGACAGGAATGCATGCCCAAGTTAGTCCACTCCAGACCTGGGCTGGGGTATTTATACTCCAGCTCCTGCCAGTCTCTTGTCCAGGGCTTCTCGGACGTGTTTATCCTTAGCAACCCTTGCTAGTGGGCAATGTGAACTCTGGAGACCAGAGAAAGTTCCAAGGCGAAGATGTGCAGGTGTGGACACTGGAGGCCAGGCAAGCCCGGCAGTGGCACAGTCAGAGTAGGAGACGTGGACAGGGCAAAATAGCATCAGCTACAGCCACCTTTAAATGGACACAAAAGCAGCCGAGAAGGAGCAGAGAGGAGGGAGGAAAATCAGAAGAGGAATGGAGCCACAGGACTCCTTTGTGCAGAAACGGCGATACATTCTATTCACGCGTGTGCATCCCACTGCTATTGTATCTGTAATTTCTAGGGCCAGTCTGGCTAGGGGAGGCTCCGAAAAGCCCAAGGCGGGTCTCTGCTGAGCCGCTCAAACCCGGTCCAGTCTCAGTCTGGCTCAGCGAAGAGCTGGGAGGCGCGAGGGGCTGGGGCGAGTGGAGCGCATATGCGTGGTTGGCGACAGAGAGGGCCTGGAAACCTTCCCTGGAAAATAATGAGCGGAGAAAGCCTCACTGATTAGTTAAACCCCGGATAATCCTGGCTGATGAAGGCAGATCCGGACCCCTTAACGGATTTAGGGTTCCAAACGGGTCCGGGTGGTGACTTGGGGCGGGGCCGCTCTCGAGGGCTGGCTCTGGTGCAGACTTGTCTGTGGGGGGCGGGGGGGGGGGAGGGCTGGGAAGAGCCTGCCTCCCCCCTGCCCGGGCGTGGAGGACTTGCTCAAACGTGGGCGCCCATTGCATGGTCCAGGCATCTGCCGGGCGCAGGTGACGCGCGAGCGGTGGGTGGCTCCGGGGCCCGCTTCCTCGCTCCTTCTCAAGTCTCCTGAGCGGCTGGAAGCCCTTCCCCCACCTGGGCCAACGCTAAGAGAAGCGCTTCGTCCTGCCCGCGCCGATGCGTCCCATCCGTCTGAGCAGAGGATCTGAGCTGATCCCGCAAAGTCCGGCGCTGGAGTGGACGCTCTACCCCCGCAGCACCTGAGGGTGGGGGTGGGGGCATGGACTGGCGCGGCGGGGGCGGGATGGTGGAGGAGAGGCGCTTCTCACTGGGGAGGGGCAGTGAAAGTGCCTGCGCTCCCGCCGCCGGAAGAGGCCCCAGGGTTCAGCTCTCCCCGCACCCTGGTCTTGCCAGCGCCTTCCTGAAGATGGGGCGGGAGGAGGTGTTAGGAACTCCTCTAAACAGGAATTGCAGAGTCCCCTTAGAGCTCCAACCCGGGCTCCTTCTCTCCGGTCTCTGCTTTGCTTTCCTGGTTTCTCTCTCCCTGTCCGGTGTGAGCGGGTTAATAAGCTTCAGTTTCTTTCATCTGCAAAATGGGTTTTGTAAGATCCCTCCGAAGGGTTTGGAAAGCTGTGTGTTCTTGGCTCTGCGCAGCCCTCACCGTGTGGGGTGGCCCAAGTGGGGCTCCTCTTGCCTGGCCTTTTGGTACCTCAGGGTCCCTGGCCATCTATTTGCGGGCTGTCCTCTCGGTGAGCTGCTGCCTCCGCTGGCACAGGCTAGGGAACGGAGACTCCAAGACCCTGCCCAGGTGTGGGGGCGCCGTCTGCGCTCGGCCGCGAAAGCCGGTGAACCGCCTCTGAGACCCTCCGCTTGCGAATGACCCGGGTTGGGCCACCTTAGGGCCAATTGTCCTGCCTGCCCTGGATTCGGTCGGTAAATGTGTGGATCGTTAGGTTTCCTCCTTAACTGCAGCCCCAATTCTCATCTACAAACGACTACTCCGCCGGGCAAAGAGCCGGAGCACGTAGGCGGGTCCTGTGCTCCCCACGCCTTCCCCTGAACTCAGAGAGAAATTTGGGGAGAAATTCCTGGCGGAGCCAAAAACGACGCCAGCGTCTAAAGCCGCCCCGGACCCGAAGCAATTCACAGAGCAATCATCCCAGAGGAAAGTTATTGTTGTGCTAATCCCGAGAACAGCTTGCGAGGGGAGATTTGAGTCTTCCTCTAATAATGGAAAGTTAAGACCTAGCCTTGCAATTATCTTTATCGGAAGCCCCTCGTTTAATCTGCATGGGTAGCAGAGGGCCGGCTCCAAGGCCCCCCGATCCGGAGACCCGCTTGCTGAGTCGGGCTCCGGCCGGGCGTGCGCGCCGCTGGCGGTGCGGCTGGCCTGGGCGAGCGGCCGCCTCCCGCGGGGTGACCTCAAACTGCTGGGCCGTCAGGGGCTGCGACCGAAGAGATTCTGCTTCGGGGGCTCTGTGTTTGAGAAGGGTGGGCTCAGGGCTCCGGGCGATTCGGGTTGGGCGGGCCCAAATTTGCCGCACGCGAGCCCAGGGCGGCTCACCCCCGTGCTTGGGCGCCAACGTTAACAAATATGGGCTTTTCACGTGAAAATCAGGCTCTCTTTAAATAATCGTTAAATCGGACAATAATTTGTTAGCCTCTGTGAAGAGAGGTGGGTCCCAGCAGACAGGCCCTTAATTTCCAATTTACTGCTCTCCTCCCCTTTAGGGTTGCCAGATAAAATAGTGATACATATCATACTAAAATTGTATGTTTATCTGAAATTCAAAGTTCACTGGACCTCCTGTAATTTAGTTTGCTAAATCGGGCGCCTTTTCCCATCACTCTCCTCCCGTCTCTCTCTCTCCTCGTTCTTCCCCCGGCTGGTGTGGATTTTGCGACCCCCTACAGACCCGCCGTTAGAGCCCTGGGGGATGGACTTGGCTG